CTCTAAATTTCCTGGATTTAAATAGCAATATTTGGTTCTAGAAAAAAATATAACATTATTATGATGTTTGTGTACCTTTAATTACTACTATATATTCTCAGTTCTAACATTAACTAACATTATTTCTGTGAACAGGAAAAAGATAATATCTGAATTTAGAAGCTAAACTATTTGTGCAGAAAAAATAGAATAGAATCTTTTGACCAGAGATCCCCTTTATCACAATCTCTAGTTCTTTTCCTAACAAGGATTTGGGGTCTATAGTTTGTAATAGCAGTGGCACCTAGTGGTCAATTCTTTTATGGCAAGTTAATTTTCTGCGCAATTTTCTAAATTTGATTCTTCATATCAGACTTTTGAAAGGACCAAAGCTTTTCCATTTAATCTGCATGCAAGCACTGTATGACCCAGGAATGGATGAACCGGGTTTAATATAGCCATCTCAACCCTTTGCTAATAAAACTTTATTACCACTATACCACATAGTGGTTGCAGAGGAGAGAGGTGGCATGTACTCTAAGGGTATATTTATATTGCAGACCACAGTGTAGTGGAAAGACACCCAAAGTTTGCCCAGGTAGAGATTCATGATGCTGTGGCTAGACTGTTTCTAGTATCTGAGCTGCTGGTAACTTACACCCGGTTCAGGTTCTCTGTACTGAAAGCAGACTACAGTGTAGTCATACCCTTGAGTTGCAACCAAGTCTCTTTTGCAAATCTGTTTTTTCAACTGTTCTATAACTTCAGAAATAAAAATACCCCTATTTTCCCATAGGCAGGCAGGGTTCTTTGGGTAGATGTGATATCTTTTATTAGATCAACTGAGTAGTTGGAAAAAAGTTCTTAGCAAACTTTCGTGTGCAGTCACCCTTCATCAGGCATAGGGAGTCTCTGCTGGTCTGACTCTCAGACCAACAAAGACCAGTATCATTTGGAGAATGATACTTCTGTATTATCTGAAATACTGCATGCACTTTTCAAGATATCATCACCTGAAGGATCAGGCTACCCCCTTAATAAAAGGAGCCTTGTGGGAAACTCTAGCCTCTCCAGCACCAGTGAAAACATCCATCAAAAAGTGATCCTAGGTAACATTTTCTAATCACTTGGATCTCCAGAGTTTCTGTTGGTTTTTGAGCATTTGCTTTTTGAGTAAGAATACACCAACAGATAAAGCCTAGAGCTATTTAAGACATGTTCTTCCATATCTTCCGTTATGAGAAGTGAACTCAGGTTCCTCACCCAACATTGACTTTCTAATGTAGGAAAGAGGCTGTTTATCAGCAGGGGGGAACTCAGAGACAATATAAAAGAGAGCTGGTTAATTGTGAAAACCACCCTACAAGCTACACAGATATAGCAGAAACTGTAAGAAAATCTATGGTTGCTGTAGCTTTCATGAGAAGGGCAATCAGGGTCCAAACTTTGGGCATCCCTTGTGAAGTGCAGGCCATGACTAAGGACATACCCTTCCAAGGAGCTGAACTCTTTAGTAAGAAAAAGAACAGTGCCTTCCTTTCACTCAAGGACTCCAAAGTAACCTTTCTCATCTTTGCTACCTACACACCTAATCTACCAAAACCCCTACTATCTTCTGTCTCAATGGCAGTACATGCCATCTTACCACAGGGGTTCATATCACAGAAATATGAACTTTCATTTTGACCCAGGAGAACTTTTACAATCTTTGCTCTGATGCCTGATGAAGGGCGTTTGTGCCTGAAAGCTTGCAAAAAAAAAAGACATTTTTTTTGCAAAAATCTTGTTGGTCTAACAAAAGATATCACCTCTACCATGAGCCCTTATTGCATTTTCCTCTAAACCAATATGTCTACAACCCAGATACCTGACACCATCTTACCACAGATGGAGTATTACTCCAAACAGCAGCTGAGATACAGGAGAGAGTAACCTCCTTCAACCATTTGCACTCTGATAATATCTCAGCAAATTTGACTGTGTGGGATCAGGCTGATAAGTACTTCCTTGGGTAATTGCCTTACCACCTTGCACTGGCTGTGGTCCAATATTACCAATAATATATGGGTGCTGCACATTATTACCTTTTGGGGGGGATATATGCAGCCCACATGAAAACAACCCAGATAGGGTTATGGTGGTAAATCAAGTTCATGGAGAGTTTCCCCTTAGATCACTCCATGAATTTGTATGTATTACCAAATGACTGGCATTCTTCTCCTTGATCATCAGTGCACACTTCGCTAAGCACACAAGAAACATGGGCCTGCTTCAGAAAAGTGCCAGTTTCTGAGATTTGTAAAACAACTACAGATGGTTACTCACTTATATTTGTTAAACATGAGACTATTGACAGCATCCATGGCAGAAGCCAAGTTTGGAAGAGCGCTATTACATTTCTTATTTGACTAATCATCTGTAAGTCCTTGACACACCATCTAGAGAGGATAATGCTTGTTCCTCACTGGGATTGGGGTCCACACTGATTCATACAAGAAGAACAAAACAGTAATTTGTCCTACACTTACTGCAGCATTTCAAAATGATGTAGTCAGTGTGGATTCAACGGTCTACCCTCCTACCCTGCTCATAGTCTTTAGCTATAATGGGCTTAGAATTGCAACGAAGCTTAGGGAGGGTTACAGCCACTCCATTCTTTATGCTCTTGTTTGAGATCATGAAGAGACAGAATATGGGTTACCTGAAATAATCCAGACTGGTGTGCATAGAGCACATGTTCATCCATAGCAGATCCACACAGATGATAGTGTTTCAGCTGCTGTAGAGCAAGTAGCCATTCTTTTTTTAATACTGTGCTGTGGAATCTAAAATGATCTTTACAATTTACAAATGATGAGCTTACAAGCAATGTAAACTGCATTTAGTGAAGGTTTATTGAGCTGGCTTTTTTCCATATTATGCAATTTGCTTAAAGCTTTAAGAATAAGCTAATGAATAAGCTTTTTTAAGACTGTATCTCTTAACATTGTGTTGTAACTTTTCTTTCAGCAAATCTCTTCCTCTTTTGGTAAAACCAAAGCAACATGTTTGAGAAGTGGGGTGTAGAAGGCTGAGAGGTAACTGGAGGTCAGGTTGAGCAAAGGGCAGTTTATATTATAAACGTATATAGTGCAGGAAAATGACTTTTTCTACTTATTTCAATGTGATCATAATGCAAATGGGAAAGAAGTAACTGTATTACAGATAGTACTGTTTAATGGAGCTACAAATATAAAGATGATGATGATGATGATGCTCTTTGATTACATAACACAGCATTATCAATCAAAAAAAGTCTAGGTTTGGAGACTGCCATTGCTATGGCTTTGTACTTTTTGTGGCTATAATTCTTTAAGATTTAATGTTTATTCACTTCAATTATTTTAGAGTCTAACATCTTTGGGTGTTAATGAAAAGTCGCTTACCTTTGAAGTAAAATTATTTAATTTTTTAAAAATTACAGTTGATATTTCACAGAATCAGCAATACAAATAGCAGAAGAAACTGATGGCACTGGCAGGTGACCTGGATCAGTGATTCCCAACCTGGGTGCTTTGGTAGCCTGGGGTGTCTTGTAATCCCTTCAGCAGTGCCATAGGGGGGCCCACAATGTTAGCACCACTAGGTGTGCCAACACGATTCAAGAGATAAACTCAGAGATTTCAAACAGACACCCATAGCTACGGTCGTTTGGAGTTCTTTGCAGCAGAAAAACTGCTGTGTTCTTTTTTCAGTCACCAAAACAGAGCAAAAATGGAGAGCCGCCACTTTCTGAGGTGTACCACAAGTCCTATCCCAAGGTGCCTTGAGACTAAAAAAAGGTTGTAAACCACTAATCTAAGTACCCCCAGTTGTGAAGCGATGAAAAAATGAAATCTCTGCCAGGATGTCTGCTGATCCCAGCTTGCTGGGCAAAGAGAGAGCGGTGTGATTTTTTTCCCCCACAAATCACAAAGAAATCAGGCTGCAAGAGACCTCCAGAGGCCATCTACCCTGCCTGAGGCTGGACCATCCCTATCCAAACCATCCCACACAAACCCTAGTCTAAACTGTGTCTAAGACAACCATCAACCCTGACACAACATGGAGCTACCACCCTAACCTGCCGCAGGTAAAGCAATGTCATGTTTCTATGAAACGTTGTCAGCCTACACTCATAGGGCCACACCGCAGTTAGAGAAGGCAACACCCCAGGGGGTGGAAATTTCTTCCTGACCCCAAATATAACAATCGATCTGACGCTGAGTGGAGGGGCAAGACCCTCTAGCCAGGAACAGTGGTGGCCTTAAGGGTGTTGGGGCTAGACCAGGGGTGGGCAATTATTTTGAGCGGAGGGCCGCTTACTGAGTTTTGGCAAGCCATGGGGGTCAGCATGATAGGCAGCCAGGAGCAGATAAGTATTAATTTTCTAATTTTTTTAAGGGCCCTGCAGGCTGGATAGAATGGCCTGGCGTGCCGCATCCAGCCCCCAGGCCACATTTTGCCCACCCCACAGCTAGACAGTCATTTGGGGCCCCTTTGAGGCTTAATTTTGATGACCTGTAAGCAAGCCAGACATTTTCAATTTAACTTTGCCCTATTGCACGAAACTGCAATGACAGTATCTTATACAATATTGATACTACAAAGAAAGAGTTTGTTAACATGGAGCTATATTCTAGGTTCAAAATGTCAGGGCCTCCTAAGGTGTGGGGGCCTGGTTTGCCCTCCCCTAAGGCCGCTACTGCCAAGAGCCTCCAGCTTTGGTCCTAGCAGGAGCACTGGCACAGCCCAGTCAAGCTCGGCTGTCGCCAACGCCAAGTGCCTCTGAGGGAGGCTTAAAAACTTGCAGCAGGAAGGCCGGGGGGGGGGAAGCAAAGCCCACAGCAGAAAGCCCCGGCCTCCTGTCTCCCCCAGCCCCCCGGCTTTCACCACAGTGTACAAGCAGCAGCAGGGTGTGGGCAGCCCTTGCCACGCGTACACAGGAGAGGGGCAGATGGCCCTGCGGGCCCGGCCCCGGGCCTGGAGCGAATCCCCGGGCCGGCACGGCCACCTCCAGCTCCCCGACGTGGGGCGGCGCAGCCGGCAGTGGGCATGCGCGCGGCGGGCGGGCGGGCATGCTCAGTACTAAGGGCTCGGTGAGCAGGGAGGTTACTCGGCTGCGGAGCAGGTGAGGGCAGCCGGAGGGGCTGCGGGGGGCAGGGGGCCCGGCAGGCGGGGCTGGCACCTGATCCAGCGCCCGGGCTGGTCCTGACTTTACCTGCCTCCCCCCCCCATCTTCCCCGCCAGGCCTGCCTGGGCACCCCCTGCACTGGGGAAGCGGTTGGGGGGAGGGGGTGCAGGCCACTTCTCGCTCCCCGCCTTGTCCTGCTTGAGGTGCGGGGCTCCTGCCTTCTTCCCGGCCCCCACCGAGGGGTTTGGCCCCAGGGCTGATAGAAAACTTCTGCTTCGAGCAGAGACCCAATGGAAGTGCTGTCAGTGCCAGAGGGGTGTGATTTGAAGTGATGCACACCTGGAGAAACACACACGCCCATGCGTGCACACAGAGAAACGCACACACACGTGCACACAGAGAAGCACATGCATGGAGAAATGCACACATGCGGACACAGAGAAACATGCACACATGCACATACAGAGAAATATGCGCATGGAGTAACACATGCACACACACACAAACACATGCACACATGGAGAAACATGCACATGTGCACATACAGAGAAACACGTGCATGCACACAGAGAAGCACATATGCACATGGAGACAGAGAGAACTGCAGATGCGTTCACCCACACGGAGAACTGCATGCACATGCACACACATGTGCACACACAAACATTGTAGTAACATATTTGCTTTTTACCTAGACTGGTTGCTACCTTCCCCCAAGCTCAGCCTTTGCTGCTATAATATATGTACTTGCATTTGCTTGTTTTTCTCAAGATCCACACAATCTCTTCCCCTTCCCCCACCAAGAAATGTGTGAATTCCACTTGTTCTGGACTTTTGACTGTAGAGCTTTGTCATTAACAGAGGTTACTCGGAATCTGCTTCTCCAGTCAACAAAAGAATATATAGATATTTTTGTCTCTTTCTGACTCCTCTCCGCAGCGCAATGGCATCCCAAAAGAAGTTGCAGGGTCTTGTAGCAGCTACAGTCACTCCATTGACTTCAGATGGGTAAATATTACCGTGGACCAGCACAAGGTGTGCTGTCAAAATTGGCAAGCCCCTGTTAATGCTAATTATACCTGTGCTGAAGAAGCATTATGATCCTGACTTTTAACAGAATCAATGAATGAATGTACTGTACTCTTTTATCCCAGAACCTTATTTCTCTACTTCTTTGTCTACAACTATTTATTGGGAAAAAAAGTCAGTTTTCTAACAATCTTTACCATTCCAGCTGTGATGGGTGACACAGAGCAATGGGGTCCAAAATTTTTGGCAGGCATCTTGCAAATTAGCCCTACATCCTCCCTGAGTGCCACTCCAATCTCCTCTCCCTTACTGATCTGCTCTGTTTCTGCTTCTTGCCCTGGGCTCCTTGAGAATCTGCTGCTCTGCTTTCTGCCTTATCTGCCACGATGCTGCCTGTTCCAGCTCTAATTTTTTGGTGTGCCACACAGAGGTTGCCTGTGCCACTTGTGACGTGTACCCCAGGTTGGCAACCCTGACATATATCATGGGGCATACGTGTGTGACAGTAGTGAGAGAATGACTGGTATTCTATTCTAGGCTGTGCATTTGTTAGCACAGCATTTGTGTAACAAGTGATTACTATAAAGTATTTAAAGTACAAGTTAGAATCTTTCCAACTAGACTTTCAGAACTCAGGCTAAGTTTGCAGGCATGGGAATGGGGAAAATCATTCTGACTTGTAAATAAGTAGATGTAATCTGGGGTTGTAGAGAGACAAACCATTCAGGATTTCACTCTGTCACAAGTGGAACACAGCCTGCCCCATTCTGTCTTTGTTTGAGCAGAGAGAGGGTTCAAGGTAACAGCTGACAGATGCTATTAGCAGCTTGCATCCTGTGATTATGAAGGCTAGCTTGGGTACTTGTCAACAGCTGTGCAAATGCTATCTGTTTAGTCCTTGAAATTGTGTGCAGTTGTACAAGCCATGTCCATGGGAGGCATTTACAGCACTCTACAGCCACTAGCTAATTACATCTATGTGGTGAAGAAGCATTATTACCCTGATTTTAACGAACTGCCATGCAGAAGCCACTGCCTGGATTTTTATAGGTGCTGAGCATATGCAATTCTCCTTAACTGTAGTTAAAGATGTTCAGCAGTTCTAAACATTAGGGTCTGAAGAAGTAGCCCAGAGTCAAACAGCTTCTGTGTAGTGGAGCTAGAAATGGAACAAGAAATCTTGACTCTCAGGCCTCTATTCTCTGTCACCCCATCTTTTCATTTGAAGCAGGACAGTGAGATGGGGTGGGAAAGGCAGAGATGATTTTAAGCCATCTATATCTTTCTTTAATGCAGGGGCTTCTTGGCTCCTGGTATAAACTGGATAACCACAGAACTGTTCATTTCTCCTTTCCATATGTCCTCAGGAAGCAGAGTAGTCATCAGGGTGTGTTTTGGTCTCCCCATCTCCCTGACTCGCAAGGGGAACTTAAACAAGGGGCCAGGAGCAGAACTTGTGCAGAATCCTTACTGTCGGCCCTATGCTGGCTGAAAAGAGACTGTTGGGATGCAGGGTATGTTGCCTGCCTTCTTTACAGTCTCTTTACACTGCCAGAGTAAGTTGTTATGTGCCCCCCATTCCTGGAGGATAGTGAATCAGGAGTTGTGCTGTTTTACTCATGACTTAAGAGCATCCTATTCAAGTGTTAATGCTTCTTAAGCTACAACATACAATACGAGAAACACGCATGTTCTGTGACAGATGAAAGTGGTTTGTTTAGTCTCAATTGTGGTTGAGCTAAGACCATGGCCATCCCTTGGAGAGGTTAGGTGGTGAGTACCCAAGAATCCAGTAGGAGGGGGAGCTGTGAATAATAATATTTTTACTGTGACCTTCTTTTAAATAACTTCTAAGTGCTCTATAAGCGACAGGCATACAAACCAATGAAATGTAACACCACAGGACTGGGTAGCCTGGACCCGTCTAGTGGAATACTGAGGGGTGGGGAGGGTGAGAGAGACTTTGACTAAGGATGTTGGAACCAGTTTCTGGTCTCACTTTAGTTCTGTGACTGCAGAAATGGATCACTGCTGAGCTAGTGAAAATATTTCAGAAAGGGAAATTTGTCACCATTTTTTTAACCAGTTCTGGGCCATACAGTTCCATGTTTCTCTCTGGTTTCTGTAGTGAGCATACTGAGTTTAAAGTTAAGTTCATCATTTCCCCTTGCCTTTTTTTCTTCAAACTCAGCCTAGTTTGGAGACAAGCTGTTCTTTCATGTATCGACCAGCAATAAAAGTTCTGAAGGACAAATTATCCTGTGTTGACACAGGCACAATCCATTGTGCCTGAGCCAGCCTAAATTTGCGCAGATTATTGGAATTTTGCAAACAGTTCTGTTGATGTAGAGGAAAGAATAGAATTCAGTTCAATCTATCTTATCTCGGCATTTGTAAAGAGCAGTAAAGAAGAGACAGTGCATTGATTTTTTTGCAGTCATATTTGAAAGACTACCTAAAAAGACTTCCTAGAATTCATTTTGTTCACGTCAGCCGCCTGAATGAACCCTGTTGGGACTGAAATGAAAATCAGTAGTACCTAGTTTGAAGCCATGCTCTTGGGGAATAATAAAATGAATTAATGCTACAAGCTGGGAGTTCTTCAGTTGGAAATGAGGAAGAACTGAAAAACCTGGGGGTAATAGTTGATCACAGTATGACTGTCAGTCTCCAATATGATGTGAAAAGGCAAACAGTCCCACCTTGTATCAAAGAAGGTACAGGTTTCCCTCGCTTTATGCGTGTTGTGTATGTGCAAATTCATGCTTATGCGATGACCCTTTTTATACCAAAAATGTGTTATATGCGAGGTAAATTCACTCTTATGTGATTGGTGTGGTGGAAGTCTGCAGTCAGCTGCTTTGTGCGGTGCATTGTGGGAGTGATACGCACCAAAATGTAGTCTCCTATGTGGATCTGTGCTCCTCGCTCATTGTCTGCAACACGTTTCTGTAGTTGCCACCCCCATTATGGTACCATCACACTCTGCTTGTGTGTACTGTCTGCTTTTGGTGAGTACCAAAATTGTCTTGTAAAAGTGGTAGAAATGGGTCTGGGGGCCAGTACAGTTGAGGTCTTGGAACGTATCCCTATTTGTTACTTTGTAAAGTGGGTTCCCTTTATGCAAATTTGAGTTTTGCGCCGCTTTCCAGGATTGCATGTACAGCATAAAGCAAGGGAAACCTGTATTTCCAGTAGAGATAGAGATATACCAAGCCATTGTACAACATAATCTGGAACATTTTGTTCAGTTTTGGTTGCCCACATATAAGGAAGATCATTTCAAAATCTAATAAGTGCAGAGAAGGATGATCAGGGAAATGGAGTATGTATCTTGCAAGAGAAGGCAAAAAGTTGGCTTATTTGGCTTAGAAGGGCATCTGATTGTTATCTGTAAATTTGGTGGTGAACCCCCGTAGAAGGAGAAGAAAGAGTTAAGGTAAAGGATAGTATTGGGACAAGAACAAATGTGTAAGCACTGTCTGTGACTACATTTTAAGCTGGAAAGGAGAAGAAGTGTTTCTAACCGTCAGAGCAACAAGGTTCTGGAACAGCTTCCCAAAAAAGTGGAGTCAGAAACTGTAATGAGTTTGACCATGAAGCTCGATCAGTTTGTGAATGGAATTATAGGATGCAATAGCAGGAGACAGGACTCAGTGGCCCAGGAAGTCCCTTCCACTTCCACGTTCCTATGAATTTTTTATGCCTTCAGTGGCTTCTTTAATCTTGCTATTTTTGCCACATGCCCCCCTCCCCCCACCTTCCCTGATTGGCCGGGGGCCCTGATGGTCCTGCTGCTTGCTGCTGATCAGCTGGGAGGCAAAAACCCCAGCATATTTAAAACCGTAGCTTTTGCCTCCTGGCTGATCAGCAGCAAGGCTACCGGGGCCCCTCTGCCAGTCGAGGGAGGGTGGTGGAGCATGCATTGAAAATAGCCAGATTAAAGGAGCTGCTCCATAGTGCATTCTTGCTGTAATTTCAGTAGGTCCCTACCTATGTTCATTACCTCTTTCCAGGAGTCAGTTTGCTTGGCCACTGTGGCAGAGGATTTAAAAGGGTCATGACTGAGAGGAAGAATTTGGAAAGCTTAAAGTGTATGTATTAAAACCTTGGAGGAAAAATACAGCGTTTAATACCCTGTAGCAATGACAGAACAATGACATCTAGGTTTATGTTTCATTAGGCTTAGACTCTTGCTCCAGAAACCCCAAATTAGGTTTCATGTACAGCAGGGCTGTCAAACATGGCCTGCAGACTGGAACTGGCCCATGGAGCCCACGCAGCAGCCCTGGCCCTGTGCACTGCATGTGGCATGCAGGCTGGATTCATGCAGCGTGTGCCCTGGATCTCATGGAACATGTGCAGTAACATGTTCAGCCCATGCACTATGGGCAGGGCATGGACCGTGCTAGCCCCAGAGGCCATATGCACAGCACACCCCAGGGCCAGTGCATGCTGTATGTGGCACACAGCTGTATTCACTGCACACAGCACAGAGGGCTGACATGGGTCACATGCTCCACGTAGTACCCCACCAGCATTGGAGTCAGCATGCAGGGGTGGTCACTTGGAGCATGTGCCCCATGCCAGCCCCTGCTGTATGCAGTGTGCATGGCTAGTCCAGCACGTGTCAGGCAGCACATGCTGGCCGCAAGGCTTGCTATGCAGCCCCCAGGTATGCAGCCCCCAGGGTCAGTACAGGATGCATGGTGCCCATAGCACATGGACTAGACCTGGCAGTGCAGGTGGCACAGAGGGTCCAGGGCACAGGCTGCATGCAGTACCCTGGACCAATGCCCTGTGCTGTCTGCAGTGCTGGATCCAGCCCATGCGCTGTGGGCAGCAGGCAGTGTGTACCTTATGCCAGCCCTGGGGGCTGGCACATGCTGTGTGTATGGCACGTGGGTTGGACTTAGCATCATAGCTACTTCACAGGGGGTGGGTCCCAGTCTGTCCCTCAGATCATCTTATGGGCCAGATGAGTTTGACACCCCTGATGTACAGCACACTTTCTAGACTCGGCAGTCTCAGTCCATAGTATCCTGATTAGATGCTTCATGTACAGAGTTTTCCTTAAATCCTAATGAAAGCATGTGAGATTTTTGGTTTACAGTCTATACTTGTGTCCCTTCCAGTGTGTTAGGGAGAAATGTACTAGTATTTGGACTTGGACAGGGCTTCCTTCAATACAAATGTTGTTTATAGCCTTTCCTGTTTTATTTTCTTTTATTTCAGAAAAATTAACCTGTCTGTGATTGGTCAGTATGTGGATTACCTGGTAGATAAGCAGGGAGTGAAAAATGTTTTTGGTAAGTCTTTATTAGAAATTACATTGTGCCTCTTCTCATGGGAAACAGGTGTACTGTGTCTTGTCAGCCAAGATGAGATGGAGTAAGGGGATGGAAGTATTATAAAAATGTGCTTTTCAGTGAAAGAGAGCATAATCTAAACTTATAGGATCTGCTCTTGCCCAAAGTTCCAGTTCTGTACAGGATAGAATAAAAGGAACCATTTTTTAAAATCAGTGCTTTCTAAAAATGTAAAGATATGCCTTGAATAAAATTGGCATAGCTTCTGCAGGTTGGCCAGACCTTAATGAGTGTGTCGTGTTCTGTTTGAAACAGTGAATGGCACAACAGGAGAAGGGCTGGCGCTGAGCTCCCAGGAGAGGAAGCAGCTGGCAGAAGAATGGGTGAATCAAGGGAAAAAAAAGTGAGCATCTCTGGGAAAACATTTCTGTTTGCCTAAATATAACTGCTTACCTAAGCAGCGAGATCTGATTTAATTGTGCAAAGTCACATCCTCTAGTTACTTCCCCTATTTTCTTTTCCCAGCCCCTTTATCAGGATGTTGCTAGAAGTGTCAAAACAAATAACTGTAGTCCTGTCTGACTCAGCCATCCATGAATCACTGACTTCTTTTCCCCTCCTGAGAGGGCTTCTGGGTCTTCTCTTCCCATTCCTTTAGTGAAGGGGAGGAAGGATATTTTGGGAGATGTCCTTTTAGAATGATTTGAGAATAGCGAAAGAAGTGAGTGATGTGACACAAGAAATCTTTTTATCTCCATTAACATGGCCTGTGTAAAAGCAATATTGCAACACCTCACAGTCTTTCAATATGTGTATATATATATTGAACACAACACACCTGAGAAGTAAAGAAATGCTGCTGTTTCCATTTTCTAGATGTGGAATCAAGGCCTAGAGTGACACAGGAAGTCCAGGTCTTCAGAGACCCAAGTTGCAATCCCCTAATCACTATTCTGTCCTCCCTTTGTGATATCTTTTATAGTATTATACTGCTTATCTTTGCCCTCTTTGACACCCGTGCCAAAAGTGAAGCAGGGGGTGTGGAACAGAGAAGGAAGGGACACAGAAAGTGAGAAAACCAACGGGCCAAAGGAGCTGGCAACAAATGTGGTGTCCAGAATTAGCAAGGCAAGATGATAACTCTGTGGAATGAAGGAATGGTGTAAGGAGTAAGAAGTAGGAGGGAAGGGGGAGAGAGACAGCACTTATAAGTCCTGCCAGTTAAGAAAACTACCTGCTATTGCGTGGTTTCAGCAGTAAATGCAGCTGGGCCTATGTTAAACTGTTTTGTTGGAAGTTTAGGTGCAGAAGGTACACTGCAGTTCGTAAAACGGCCATGTGTGTGGCTGGCCATAGGTCACATTGAATTTAAACCATGCTCACTGTTGGTTTTACTACAGCTGTTGCTGACCCCTATTATCAGCATAGGATGAATTTTCTGGGATAGACAAGGCTACTTGCCTTACATCTCATATGGGCACACATGACCAAGGATGCCCTTTCTGGTCTTACATTCCTCTGCTCACAGAGAGCACTGCATGATGTTCTTGATGGAGTACCAAGGATTGGGCAGGTATGGAGCAGCTTCCAGAAAGCTGAATATTGATCAGCTAGCACAACACAAAGACCTGGAAGCATTTTATAGACCTTAGGCCACATCATACTCGTGTAGGTAAAAGTGGGAGAAATCAGTCGAGGAGGGAGACTGATTAGGGCTTTGTCTCCCCTCTGCATCCTCCCCCTACTCCTGCTCCAAGACATTTGGGCAGGGATGGGAATGCTCCAGCTCCTTCCTCCTATCTCCTTGCAGCCAGGGAATTGGCAGTCCTCATAGTGGTGGGAGACAGTCAGATGTAGGTGATGTGAACTGGTTTGTACCAGTGAAAACAAAACAAACATTTTGCCAGAAAGTTTTTATTTGGCTTTAACTTTTAGAGATTATTCTTTGGGAAGTGGGGCAGAAATGAGAAGACAAAAATATTTCAGAAGGTAGGATGAGGAGAGTGTGTGTGATTTGTATGTTCCCAAGAGAAGTCTGGGTTTAGTTTCTTGTTAAAAATATATGACATTTCCCTTGAAAAAATAATGTGTGTTTCTTTATCCCGCTTTAAGATTAGCTCTCCAAATTTGCTGAACACGATAGATATTCTGCACATTCATTTTTATCTGTGTAAAGTGGTGTCAAGCACCATGAATTAGAATGATAGCACTTCACAGAGATGTACAGTAGGGGTGTGCGAAACGGGCCCTATTTGATTTGGATTCAAATTTGGCCTGAATTAGGGGCAGCGATTCAATTCGTTGATTCGGATCACTGCCCTAATTCAATTTGGTAGAATCCGAATCTGAAGATTCAATGCTGATTCAGAGAATCAGCAATCTGGACACAGACACAGCTTTAAAAGTTTTTATATACCTTGAGGTAGGAGGTGCGGTATGTGAATGCTGCGGTGCTGGGGTGCATGGAGTGTCCCACGGGAATGCGGGGCGGCCCTCCACATGCTTGGTGGCGAACCCAGAAGTGGACGAGAACTACTTCTGGTCCACTTCCAGAACTAATTCCGGTCCCACTGGGGAGCACGCAGGGGGGCCCCCCATGCCACCTCGGTTCAGCGATCGGCTGCAAGGGGACCCCAGGTGCCCCCACCAGACCCAGAAGGCACCAGTCACCGAGCTGGAGGGGTGTGGGGGAGCCAAATTCGCTGGTACCCTTCACCAATGCTAAACTCCCATGATTCTTTGTTTTTTCTCTTGTACAGGTTGGAACATGTGATCATTCACGTGGGAGCATTAAGTCTACCAGAGTCAAAAGAACTGGTGTGTATATGATTTTTTTCCTAACCCCTTTCCTTTATCTTACTGTTTGTGTATTTGTTTGTTTCCCCCGAGTTTACATGCAAGTTACCATCTCTTCTCCATCTTGGAGGACCTTCTTAATTCTTGAGTACACAAATGCTGAGTCTAATCCGATTGAGCTGGTTTGCTTTACCAACATTTCCCTGATTGTTGATTTAATGGTTCTGATCGTTTCGATTAGTGGAACATCATGCTTTTGATGTTCCACTAACCTTACTAACCTTTATTAGGGCAATTTTGCTCTCTGCTACCTGCTCCTAATCTCTCCCCTCCTATTTCACAACCTAAGCAGGAAAAAGAGGCTGAGTCACCTGAAGATTAGACTGTGTCCCTGCTCTTTATGGCCATAGCTCTGGGGGAAAAAAATGTCTTCATTCTACCTTTCACAAACAAGATGTGCATATTTCAGGGCATTCTGTGTGTCAGAAAACACAGTAATAATTTAAATTATGTCAATAGCTTTACCATGGGTCATTTTCAGGAAAAATCCCGGCTAACCTGGGATGGTAAGGCTACTGTGAGTTAGTTAATTGGAGAGGCCAGCCTGACTGCCCTGAACTATACTCTAGTTGTGCATAGGTTTAATATAAGGTTTGTAATTTTGAAGGTTTATGTTAAGCAGTTAACTTAAGGAACACAGGCTTGGAAGAGCCCTTCTGAAAGTCCATCAGCTTGTTATAAGGTGGTTGTCCTGATGTCACTTTATTACTGCTGCATCATGGTGTTTGCTATGTCCTGAAGAGTCTCAGGGATTCTTTAACATGCTGCTGGGTAGGTGTGCAGGATTCAGAATCTCTTGTCAAAAATGGGATGCTTCTCGAGAAAGGGTGACAACCTGAAAATATAAGTGACTGAAGGTCTACTGCTGTCCTACACAAACAAATCCCCCAATTCAGCATAAGTTGCACAAAAATACATTGTGTGTATTGTGCTAGTGACATGCAGATACTACAGTGATTGTTGGATTAGGAAAAGTTAATTAGACCAATTGTACTTTTCAGTAGCAACCCAAAAGTACTAGCTGCCAGTAGTATCTAGATCCCTGAATATAACATATCTTTCCTGGCTTCCTCCGCATGTCCCCTTCATTCCTTTCTTTTTTTCCCTCAATTATTTCTCCTTTACTATCTCCTGTGGGTCTTCCAGACCCTCCCACTCCTCTTTCTTGGCTATCCCTTGCCTATGTGTATGCGTATATGCATGTGGTAGTGTAAAAGTGATGTTATAGCCATGGTTGTTCAGAAATTGTATGAGGGGCAAGGATGCAGAGAAATTTTCAAGCCAAGATTGTAGCAGAAAGCCCCCTTTTCCTTTTGCCTGCATTTGCTCTCCCTTCTTTGGATATGTTTCTCTTTTTTCTACCTTTCTTCCTTCCTCTTTCTTTCACTTTAAGATAAGGAATTGTGTTTTAAAATTTGTGTGTGCGCATTTTGTGTCTCCCCTTGTAGTTTGGTATTTTTATCTATTTGTGTGCCATGGCATTTGTAGCTTATATTTTATACTCTTCACCTTTCAACTTTCAACTAAATGTGTTTTAGTAAGTTATACATTGTAACAATGTTAACAAGGGCAGGAATCAAACTGTCCTTCCCTGTATCAGGCTAGCCCCTGAAAGAGCCAGTGAATCAGTGATTGAATGTGTAACAAGGTAGCACACAGCAATTAACACCTGGGAAGCTGCAGATCAACCAAGGGAAGAACTCAATAGAAGACAATGTAACAACCGGGAAATCTCTAAAGGTCACTGATCAAATGCTAGAAGCCCTGGCCTGAGTTAATCAACGCCAGAGACCAACTTTTGGGCTGAATGTCTCCAGATCAACCGCTCCCAGAGCCCTATTCTAAATTCATCAACGGACTCCCAAACCTGCATGTACATGCGGACGACCCCTGGAGCTGACAGATGCCATCCAGTAGCCACCGAGGTGGGGGGAAGTCCCACAAGGGTCAATGACCCCTGGATTGGGCAAACCTGAAAACTGGGGAGTCACCAAAGTCTGCCAGGGACAGATAAAAGGCAGTTAAAAGTGACCCTCAGTGGCACCCTTTTGATCTCCAACTCGACCAGACCTGTTCAGCCAGAAGGACCAGCCGGCGACCCCCTTCTGGAAGATAACACCACGCTGAAAGAAGCCTCAACGACAGACTCCAGCGCTTGTAGGATAGGTATACCTGACTCTGTAGCCTGCTACTGTGTGTGTGTATGTGTGTGCATGTGTGTGTGGGGACCAGCCCCAAGGTTTATGATTACGGTGTTTCAATCCGCCTAATAAACTAGAATTTTAAGGATCCCGAGTTGGACATTTGTAGCCAACAAGATCACTTGTTTCCTGGGTAACTGCCTCAGGAGGGGTGGGAATCCAGGTCATGTAAATAAGCGGAAGGAGGAATTTTAAAAAAATCTTAGGGAGCCAAGTGCTGATTTGCCAGCTCTTCTTGATTTCTACAACAGTAGCTGCAGGCAAGCTGCTGAATCCCT